CTGCTTTCTATCGGCGGTTTATTTCGCACTTCAGATCTCTTATGGCACCTATTATGGATTGCATTGCCGGCAAGTCATTCGTGTGGACTCCGCAGGCTACTGAGTCCTTCGAGTTGATCAAGCAGCGCCTTACTTCCGCTCTGGTATTGGTGTTGCCCGACTTCTCGCGCCCTTTCGAGCTTTCTTGTGACGCTTCCAAGGTTGGTATTGGCGCAGTACTAAGCCAGGACGCACACCCGGTTGCATACTTCGGCGAGAAAATTTCTGGTCCTCGACTTTGTTATAGCACCTACGAAATTGAGTTTTATGTCGTCTATCGGGCCATCCGTTATTGGCGACACTATCTTTTTCAGCGCGAGTTTGTGCTCTTTTCTGACCATGAGGCGTTGCACCATCTCGCTTCTCAGGACAACATCTCAGCACGCCATGCCACGTGGACATCCTATCTACAGCAGTTCACGTTCGTGTTAAAGCACCGTTCCAGGACTTCTAATCGTGTGGCTGACGCCCTCAGCCGCCGTTCTCTACTGTTATCTGATATGCGTATTTCAGTCTCGGGTTCGACATGCTTCGTGATCTCTATGTTTCTGATGCATTCTTTGGCCCTATCGTGGCGCGCTTGGCGGTGGATCCCGTCCCGAGTTTTGTTCTCGCCGAGGGGTTTCTTTTTCGGGGACTGCGGTTGTGTATCCCGGAGTGCAGTTTGCGTTTACAGTTAGTGGCCGAGCTACATGGGACTGGCCACGTCGGTCGCGATCGTTCGGTTGAGCTGGTTCAGTGGTCCTATTTTTGGCCGTCACTACGTCGCGATGTTTCTCGCTTTGTTGCACGTTGTCGGGTCTACCAGATTTCGAAGGGCAGTGTAACCAATGCAGGTCTTTATCGCCCGTTACCAATACCATCGCAGCCATGGTCTGCCGTGAGCATGGATTTCGTCCTTGGTTTGTCGCGCACGCAGCGGGGCCATGATTCGATCTTTGTGGTAGTGGACCGCTTCTCGAAGATGGTCCATTTTATCCCTTGCAAGCGGACGAGCGATGCCCTTCACGTCGCTCAGTTATTTTTCTGGGAGGTGTATCGTCTGCATGGCCTCCCGTCTTCCATTGTGTCTGGTCGTGACACGCGATTCCTTAGCCATTTCTGGCGTAGTCTATGGCGTCTCGCCAACACCCGCCTTGATTTGAGTAGCGCCTATCATCCGCAGACGGACGGTTAGACCGAGGCCGTTAATCGTTCTCTCGGGAACCTCTTGCGTTGTTTGGTCGGCGAGAATTTGCGCAGTTGGGATGCGCGGCTCAGTCAGGTCGAGTTCGCCCACAATTCGGCTGTTAGTCGTGCTACTGGACTTTCTCCTTTCCAGGTGGTTTATGCGGTCTAACCCCGTGGTCCATCGGATTTATTGGCATTGCCGTTTCCTGAGCAGTCTGATCGACGGGCCGAGGACTTCATTGCGGCATTGCAGCAGACCCATGCTTCGACCGGGGCGCGTCTTGAGGAGGTCAGGGCCGGCTGCAAGCGGCGTGCAGATGCTCGTCGCCGACACGTCGAGTTTGACGTTGGCGATTACGTCTGGGCTGTGTTGACTAAGGATAATTTTTCCGCTCACGATTACAATAAATTGTCGGCCCGGAAGATTGGTCCTGTTGAGATTATTCAGAAAATTTATCCGAATGCTTATCGCCTCCGCCTCCCTTCTCACATTCGCACATCCGACGTTTTCAACGTCAAACATCTTGTTCCTTTCCATGGTGACAATTCCGAAGACGACGAGATCTCGGATTCGAGGGCGAATCCTCCTCAACCGGGGGAGAATGATGGTGACGAGATCGCGTTGCAATATCTAGAAAAATATGATCGCTTACGAGCTTAGGAGTTATTTATTTTATTTCCTTTTATTTGTTGCTTTTATTTAGTAGGAAAAATAATGCCTTGCCTAGCAAGTCAAGGACTTTGATTAAGAATCTATATATTGGATGTCTCCCAACATTGCCAGTCGGTTTTTGTTGAATAATAAGATTATCTCTTGAGTTTTTACTCACTTTTCCCATCGTACGTTTCTGCCTACATACTGATGTAGGGGAAGCGTACGAGTGGGAAGGATAAAAGAGATACTCTTTCTCAATAAACCACACAAGAACATATTTTTATTTCTCAATCAACTGATCGATCATTCCATCAAACACTGATAATAAATAGAGTTCCTAACTTGATAAGCAAGAAATAAATATTCTCCTAACTAACTCAATAAGATAATAATAATAATAATAATAATAATAATTAAATTATCCTCATCATTCTCCCCCGGTTGAGTTGGATTCGGCCTCGAATCCGACCCGTTCCCGTTGGAGTCGTCCTCATGACAAGAATACCCCCGACATTTTTCTCGATCGAACACGAATGTTGAAGGTCTTCCAACAACCTCGAACATAAACATAATATCGGTTACGGACGTAACTGCGGCGGAGGCACATGTATACATCACCATTCGCAAAGCCGACACAGCCGAATTAACACAAAATATACCACATCGTTTTTCGCGCTCAAATCCAAAACGACCAAGCACCCCGTTGTTGGGAGACTTCGCGATAGGCAATAGAAAAATGGCCCACCAGTCATTGATCATCGACGTCGGCTCCGAAAAAATCTTTGGCCAAAATACTCAAAAAATCGGGCTTCAACGACATTATCCCCGTCAAAGGCTCAACTTCTGCGACAACCCGTGCGGGGCCCATATTGCCGCAAAAATATGTCTCTGTCACTTGAGGCTCCTCATCGAAAATAGGCGGACCGTCGTACAATGGCCCGTCATCTTCCTAAAAAACTACACTTTCTTGCTGCGCATCTTGGTCGTCGTGCTCAGCAACGAGCTCAGTCTCCACGGGCAGAGGCGACCACTCTCCAAAGGGATCCACCTTCAAGATGGTCTCCTCATCGTCTGCATCGCCGGACGGCGGTTGTGGAGATCGCCGACGGGGCGCCCTGCCTGGACCACGAGCTCTACTTCCTCCGTGAATTCCCCCGCGCACACCCCGGTCGCCGGCGGCATGGTTCATCTGCAAGTCCCAGACCACGTTGTTAAGCGTCAAATGTAAATCCTCGATCCCCGTCGAAAGATCTGCAAACCAATCCGTGAAACGTACGTCCATCTGTTCAAATCGGTAGTCGATCTGTTGAAACCGATCGTTGAAGGTTGCATCACGTCGTTTGTTTGCGGCATCTTGTCGTCCCGGCGACATCGCGAATCGTACTGACTGCCGATACCAACTGATGTAGGGAAAAATGATGGCGACGAGATCGCGTTGCAATATCTAGAAAAATATGATCGCTTACGAGCTTAGGAGTTATTTATTTAATTTCCTTTTATTTGTTGCTTTTATTTAGTAGGAAAATATTTAGTAGGAAAAATAATGCCTTGCCTAGCAAGTCAAGGACTTTGATTAGAAATCTATATATTGGATGTCTCCCAACATTGCAAGTCGGTTTTTTATGAATAATTAGATTATCTCTTGATTTTTTACTCTCTTTTCCCATAGTACGTTTCTGCCTACATCAGGAATTGAGAATCATCATTCATAATTTCACACTCAAATATCAAACAATTGATCATTTGGTTAAAAGATTCTATTATAACTACATGTTTATGGTGTGCTATCAGTTTTGTGAAGTTTATAATGAAATGAATTTAATTTATATAGAAATAAAAATAGGGTGTTGAGAAAGAAAAAGAATCGTGTGATTCTGTTTCTTTGTTGTGGTGCTGGCGTCTACATCTCCCACGGAGTCCCAACCGTATCTCCATCTTGAGGCGCAGACGAGGGAACCTGACCGGAGGCAATTTCTTCATGAAGCACCTGTGATTGGAAAACCAATCTTCTAGTGATGGGAGAAATGTTAGCAGTTGAGCACAAATAGCTCGTGACAACGTCGAAATAGTATTAAGGAACGGGGAGCAATGATGATGGAGGAATCAACGGCGAAGAACTCCTAGTTCGGCACTTGAAAGGACGATGAGAGGTGGAGTTATCTTGCATTATGTTTTTCAAAAGCCTTGCCGCCCGCCAGAGATGAGCTGAAGCAAATTGAAACTTAGGGGTTTCAAAACATAAAGGAAATGTTCGGAAATTTAGGAAGAAGAGAATGAAGAGAAAATTTTGAATTTCAAACACTAGTAGAATGAGGAAACACCTGTGCCGTGGGGCATATATAACTGTATGGTGACACTTATTATAGGAAGTTGCAAAAAAGAGATAATGACGTTGATGTAGAGCGTAGTACAATTGGGAAAAAGATGAGATTCTCTCTCGAAGAACACACAGAAATTTTATTCAATCGTCATAAACTGTGTTTCTCCTCATCCAAATAACATATAAATAGAAAAAATAAAATAAAGATTCCTAAACTTGCCCCACAATTGCATGTTAATTATTTTCCTACCCCAAAATGTTACTTACTAAAGGAAATAAAATAAAAGAGTACGAATAATCACGAGTCCATAAAAAGGCCGACTAAACACAAAGACGGTCATATTTATTCAAGAACGCAATAGCGGCCTCGTCTTCATCAGACGTGGTGAATTGCTAAAGGCAACAAATCCCCCTCAAATCTAAATTGCTATGACGAGAGTTTCGCCTTTCGAAGGGAAAAAATCATAACTAAAACGCATTATTGCTGTAAAATCAAACTAAAAGCAGAATGAGGGATATATATGGGAATTGGACCACCCCACATTATTCTGCCTTCATCAGTGTGTTGGTTACAAGGGCCAAACTGAAAGCCAAAACCTTTAGTCATCAGCAACTGCAGTTCACCAAACAAAGTCATCAAATCATCAATCTCAAGTCACGCAATTCTTACAGGAACAAAAAAAAAAAAAAAAAGTCATACAACAAAACAAACTGATACAGTAGCCGAGTCAAAAACCATAAAAAAACACAATCATCAACTGAAAAGACAGTTAAAAAGACAGTCACCTCAACTCAAGTTAAAAACAATAATCATAATTACACAAGCTGTTGCTTAGTTGCCTCCATTCTTTTGAGCAGGCCCGAAATCTCGGACTGCATCCTCATCTTCATTTTGTAATAATCGCAGTGCAAATTCTCCAACACCTTGAGCTCCTCCATCTTCTTTCTCCTCCTCTCCTCAGTCTCCTGCAGCCGCAGCCCGGCCAGCTTCTCACCATACTCCTGCTCCAGTTTCTCAGCGTTCAGCCTCACCATTCGCTTGTAGCTCTCGATCTCCGCCCGGGCTTCCTCGGCCCGGCTCCTGAACATCCGGGCCTCAGCCTCCTTGATCCGCACGAGGCTCTCCAGGCTATCGAGGCCCCCATGGACATCCCTCTTCGTTGTCGGGGGCTTCACTGACCACTCGTCCTCGATTACTTTTTTGTTCTCAAAGCTCGGCTGCAGCCCGTTTGTGGTATTGTAAAAGGATGGTTTTGGGGAGAGAGGGTTGTTGGATGATGATAGGGGGAGGAGAGAAGAACAAGTGTCTTTTACAAAGCTGGGTTGGCCAGTTAGATCTTTTGCCGACCCTATGTCCGAGTAGCTATCAGAGGCTGTCAATCAGAAACAGATAGTGAAAAAGTCGTTAGTTCCTTCAGGTGATATCAAAATAAGGCACATAAACGGATCTCATGAACAAAGAGAAATGACAGTTTAAAAGATAGCCATTACCTTGCCAGTATATATCTAATCATTCACAGGAACTAATCATTCAAACAAGACTGAACAGAACAAGACCATGTAAACTTAATCTCCACACAACCAAAGGCTTACTAACTAGGGAAAAGTTCGCCCAAGAAAATGAAGGTTTGAATGCAAGCAAAACATTTTACATTCTCAATGTAATGAGAATCTGTATTATTATCAATGGCATATGGCGGAAAATGGCGTTTTTCACAAATTAAGCATGGCGGTTAGGCAAAAATCCGCCACACCATACTGCTACAGCTGCCATTAGATCACACTTTCGAGAACCATATCTCCTGAATTAAACCAACCTAATGTTATCACAACAATGAAAATATATTCAAAAGCCATAATTAGTTTGCAGGTCCTTATATTTGGACCAAACAGTCTCCAAACCCAGTCTACCCTAATCAGATGATCTATACCACTACCAGACAGTTTCGCCTCTTATAATTTCAGACAAGCAGGAGAAGCATAAATAAGAAACAATTAGCACATAATGAGTAACAAACACTTGTACTCATAATCACTCTGGCCATATAACAAGCAACAAAAGGAATTGGTTTCGAGAAACTCACAGCTGAAAAACTGAAAGATTGAGCTACAAACTTCCTGAGGACTCATCATCTTGTTCCGCAGCTGGCCAAGCATTTCGTCTGCCTTGACATGCAACTCCTTCCCTTTTCGGTCTTCACTCCCTCCAAAAATCTTCCTCACGCATTCAAGCTCCTTAATCAGGTTCTCAAAACTCCAATCTCTAGCGCATGACAAAAAAACCTCCTTAACAAACCCAAACATCTCGGATGCGTGCCCGCAGCCAAGACAGTGGAATTGCATTTCAGTCCCACCCACAAAAGACCCTTTTTTCAAACAAGGGCTCGGCTTTATGAGATTCCGCTCAAGTCCGCAAGCTGCATGGCACCAGTGAGAACAAGCATCACACCCAACCCAACTGCAAGTGTTGCTGGCACAGTCGAAGTTCAAGCACACGGGGCACATGCACTCACTGCAAAAACCTTTTTTCGCCGAGCAAATCTTGCAGTCACAGTCATCCACCGGCAGCAGCCTCCTGCAGCTCAAATTCCTGCATCTCTCGAGCAAGAAAATTTCCACCAGCTCCGGAACTGGGATATGGGCCCGGCCGTTCAAAAAGCCGGCCAGGCCCATCTTGATCGCGACCAGGATCTCGAGCTGGCTCCTCTGGCACTTGGAGAGGGTCTCACTCGTGAGGTCGGATCTCCGTTCGAGCCTCCTCTGCAGGCCCGCGAGCTCGTCTCGCATTTCTGGGTCCTCGATGACCTTCTTCAGGTACAGCTTAACGGAGTCAAGCGTTTCGTCGGTAAGCTCCTGCATTATCTGGGCCATGACTGACACGGACTCCAAGATGATCTCCCTGAGTATCCTCTCGGGCCTTGTTGGTCTGCGGGCTTTTGCCAAATCTGCCTCCTCCCGATATCTCAAGTCCCCTGACTGAGCATCGGCTCTCGGCCTTGCTGGCAGCTCAGACGGCAAAAACGATATATCGTCTGAGCTTGTCATCCTATTGTTGTTATTTGAATCCTTGAATCCGTTGAAGTTACTTATCCCCATACCCAAACCACCACCGTGATTGGACAAGGCCACACTCCCATCCCCAACAGGCCGGAATCGGCTGTGGACAGAACCATTGGTCCCCTCCCCACAGTTCCATATCTGATGGCTCCCAGAGTAGTCACAGTTTTCGGTGGAGTTACGGGTGAGGGAGCAGCTAGGGTTGTGAGAAAATTGGTGTGAATAGGAATAGGAAAGAGAGGCAGCCGTGAAATCGTTGGAGTAGGTGGTCGTCCTATTGTTGTAAGAGGGGCCGAGGGACTGGACGCTCCTGCTGGGTCTTAGCCGGGAGGGCAGGTCGACGTTGGGGACACGGTTGGATCCGGCTAACGAAAGGGAGACATCAGGCAGAGCCAGGGATAGGTTCAAAGACTCGACCTTGGGCTTTTTCTCTATCTCGGCCACCACGTCTTCGGCCTCCCTTTTCGACGAATTCCCTCTGCTATCGTTCAACTGAAGAAAATCTCTCTCTACCCACGGGTTGTTGTTGTTGTTGTTGTTGTTGTCCTGCCCTTGCCGTGGATCCTCGGAGACCGCTATTTCTTTTCCCTTGTGCTTACCAGCGATTTTATCGAGAGAGGATAAGAGTACTTGGCCGGAGACATCCTTCTCCGGCAACCCCAGTTTGGAATTTTCGCAGAGGTAACTGAGGGTGAGCTCCTGATGAGAGCTGAAATTACCTGCCCGCTTATGGTGTAAATCGGCCACTTCGTCAAAACCACCGATTGCCTTTAATTTACTGGGTGAATTTTCCCCAAGAAAATCGATCCCCCTTTCCTGAAACTCTATCTTCCCATGTGGGCTCTCACTGTTTTTTTCACCGGAGAGCTCACCCGGACATTCTCTCTCTATAACCATCGGAGAGATCGAATCAAGAGAACAGGCAAAAATCAACTGAATAATAAAAAAGTTTTTATTATTAATTTTGACACTTGCAAGTTGCAAGTGTGGAAGGAACGAACGCGGAAGGATTATAGGTAACTGGTGGTGGAATTACACTAATAGCCCTTGAATAAGTCTGAGAGCTTGCGGTGGTCCAAAAAGTCAGCAAATATTAGACGACTCTGGCCCTCTGGGGCTTCCTCCGGGCTGGGTGCCAACACTCGCTAAATGCACACTGGGACCCAAACAGACCCGATAATATATATGGGTCGATTGGATGACCCGACAGTTCAGAATCGGTCTTCTGATTTTGGGCTGAACCAATAAATTAAAGAAAATAATTTTTTTTTTAAAAAAAAATCAATTTGTAAATTTGTTGAACGCCGATTCTAGTTCGGAATTGACAATAGATTCAATTTGTATAAATAAAAACATGAACCGGAACCTACCAGAATAAAACCACAGACCGATTCAAAGCCTGCGGCCAACGGGCTTGATCGGGCCGGTCCGACACTTCGTCATCTCTACGTTGATGATGTAGTTATGCTAAAGAAATATAATAAATATAAATTAAAGTGAAGGTCTGAAGTAAGCTTCTGGGGTTTTAGAACCTTCTGGCAAATTTGGGAGGGCAGGAAATTTACATGGAAGGTTATCCCTTTACTTGTGGCAATAACAGACCTACTAAAGGCTATATTGAAGAAAAGCTGGACAGAATGGTGGTCTCTTTGCGTTGGCTTCAGTCATACCCAGGAGCCAAAGTCATCAACAAGCACAGCAGCGGCGCTAAGGCGACCCCTTGCTGAATCTCAGCCACGCGATCGCCACGCCAGCAAGCCTCGTCATGCTTAGCGCCGCTAAGGCCTGATACCAACAACAATGAACTCCTTGGGCGCGATGCATGCCTCGTAGCACCACCGACTCTTTGGGACCATTTGTACTACATTCCACATGACTTTCAAGTGTGCAACCGACTTGTGGTTGTCCTCGCATATTTTTATCTCGCGGATGAGAACCGACTTGTGGTTAGCCATTACGCTTTTGTACGCCGTTGAACGGTCTCTTGAACTCAATTTTGATCTATATATATTTGCATTTAACGATAAAAAAAAAAATATTTTTTCCCGAGGCTAGACTAACCTCGTGAGGATCAACTTTGCACACATTTCTAATAGATAGGGCCTCCAAGTATCGAGAAGAAATAAAAAAATGGGTGGCTCTGGTGTCACACAAAGCAAATATAGGCACATTGGATATTGGAAGCATGCCAGACATGGTACCTGAGTTCTTGGCAGCGTCCTCATGACCAAAGGAATAAACACGGGCCTGGCCTCCGGTACGCTGCTGAAATGATGAAGGCTGCTGGGCATTCTGCTGTGGGGGCGGTGGTGGAAGCTGTTGCTGATGAGGATAAGGCGGCTGCTGCTGCCTCTTCGGCTTGTGGCAAACACTGGCATAATGACCAGGTCGGTGGCAGTTCTAACAAGCTCGCTGATCTGCGAGGCATTCTTCAATGTGGTACCTATCGCATTTCATGTAGGGTCAGTTGCCGGAGGGCCCATTGTCGCGCTTGTCTGAGCTTCCACGTTTACCCTTCCAGTTATCCAGGTGGGAATCAACCTTCCTCTTGCCCGGACTAGAGGCAGAACAGATCTAATAGGATGAGCTTGCCGAGCATGCTGGAGAGAGGGAGTAGGAGTATAAAAAGCCTGGCAACTCTCCAGCTAGATCGCATGGATCACGGTCTCGCCATAGGGAAGGTTCCCCTGGCTGGTAAGATGCATGCAGAGTGTGGGTTGCAGTCCGTCACGGAACTTGGTGGCCTTTTTCAGCTCAGTATCCCCCAAGTGAGGAGCAAAGCCACTCATGCCGGTGAAACTCCGCTCATACTCCTCAACTGTACAGGTCCTATGACGGAGATCCCAGAATTCGTGTTCCATCCTCATACGGTAGCTCTGGGGGTTAATACTTCTCAAGTACCACATTTTTCATTCTGTCCCAGGTTAGATTGGCTTGCTAGCCCGGCCTCAGCCTCCAATAATTGGACCACCATGCTGCGGCATTACTATCGAGCTGGTAGCGGCCACAAACAACTTTCTGAGCATCGATACACTGAAGGAGATCACAGATCTGCTCGAGCTTGCGAATCCATTCTGCCACGGCTGTGGGCCCTTGAACATCGGTGAAAGCTGGTGGGCTCAGCCGCTAGAATTGCAGGACCACATTAAGGTGATCATCAGTCTGGTACAGAACCGGCTGCTGGGTTAAAGGCTGGTACGGGAGAGGTTGTTGGTGGTTGTTGCGGGTTTGACATGCCATAGTTCTACATTGAATAGGCCGAAAATGATTTAACACAAGATAGAAATATTTCTAGTCATTAAACACTAGATTTCACATTTCACCCAAGGAGGATAGATTTCCTAAGCCTAAAAAACATAATCAGCAAGACACATTACAAGTAGTTTCATTGCTACTAATGCAAAACATATATACAGTTCACATTGTAAGCAATTTCATTATTACTTATACAACACATACCTTTGAGCAGTGCGGCATGACAAAGACGAGTGGTCACACACAAGGTCACAAAACCACAAAATCACATAGAGCATTCTACAGAAACATAGACCTTGCTCTGATACTACAACTGTAACGCCCACTTTGATTTTAAAGAAATTTCGGACTTTCAAAAAAATTAATGAAACATTTTCAAAATTCATTTTTCGAACTCAACTTTTAACATGGGCATTACTCATTATTTACATAGATCAAGTCATATCTGATCTCACGGGGATTCATTACCCGATTTTTCACATGGTTTTCATTAACCCGAAGTACAACTGTTCACATGATAATCAACTTAACACAATAGCATGAATTATCGAAAGCACATGTTATCCAAATAAACACTTGAACATGAATATCCAATCCAACTTGTTTCACAATGAAACTACCAATATAGGTTTTTAAAATAATCTAGCAGTCCCAACATTTCATAAGTTTGAAGGCATTTTTAACATGTCTAAAAACCAACATAAGGTTAATAATGACCATGTAACATGATTATTAATTAAAGCGTAAGCAAATAGCATAAACAAATGACCATCCCACTCATCTTTTACTCGTCACTCCCGCAACCTGCTTAACCTGGGCAAGAAAAGTGGGGATGAGCACAATATGGAATCCGTGGTACTCACTATTATGCACGTAAATATCAATATATATATATATATATATATATATATATATATATATATAATGTAAAGAGGGTATGATCGCAGCATGGACATAAATCTATACATCATGTCACATCTCCTATTCACAACACACCATTTAACTTACTCATGTGTATACATCTATCATTAGCCGCGAAAAGAAGATTCATTACCCTAACGGCGGGAGTACATGCCACGCATCGGGCACAACCTTACATAGGGGCTTACGTATCTCACAAGGGCATGACCATATCAGGACTTAAGGAGATTGCCTCACAAGGGCATCATACTGTAATTGATGGGGACAACCGTACCGACGGCCTTAACAGCTCACATCGATAGGCTACATGGTTCACTTGCATACATTGATCATACCAACCCAACAAAACATAAACAACTTACGACATAAAAATTTAGAATAACCCATCTGGACACAAGCAGGGGATTGCTCGAAAATCACGTGTAGGCAGCAAGCTCGGCTCGTCAAGCACCTACAATAAGTGAAGATACTATGATCAACACCTTATCTTGACCTTAGAAGGAAACAAAACTCATATTTAGTCAAACATGATTCAACTAAGTCATTCGTAAAGTTCTGTGGACATTGGAACACTCGGTTTTGCAAACTAGACTCGACAAACACACTTAAAAACATAAAAAATGGACTCAACACGAAAAACGAGGTTGATCAGGTCAAAAGAAGTTTAATGGTTGAGGAAAAACAAAGAAAAGCTCAAGACGGCTCGGCACGGGCGGGTGATGGCTCGCTGGCACGGTCTGGGCACAGTCGAGGCGCTGCGGGAGCAGTCGGGCTCATCTGGTGCGCTGGAGCACGGTGCCGTGGGCGCTGGGGCGTGGTCGGGTGCGCTTGGGTGCGGTGATGAAGATCGCGATCCGCTCAGCTCGATTTGCCTTGAAAGTTGTGTTTCCACGACTCCCTTCTCGGCGAGTGCTTCGAAACCTGCGCTGACGCCTTGATTTCTAAGCGATAGGTTGCTAATACGCGCGCCGACGCCTTCGTACTTCGCGATAGTTGTGAAGAAACATGGATGTTGGTCCTATTTCTAGCACAATTTTGTCTTTAAACTCACACGAAGTTAACACACGAGATTGGTGAACAAATGTTCAATTTTTATTAACTTCTTGGATATGAAAATTGAATGAGTACATAGGTATTTTTAAAAAAAACTAGATCTAGACCAACTCCAACTAGAATTCTAAACTATGGAAGAGAATCAACTCCTAAGGAAACTAAATATCCTAATATCTAAGAATTACCAAGTAATTAAATAACTAATAGGAACATGCATTTATTCATTACGCGGACTGCGTGCTGGGCACGCGCAGAATGCACACTGGGCACGCACGAAATGCACGTTGGGCATGCACAGTGCGCGGATAGGGCACAAGGATGGGGGTACAGAGCCCGGGGACAAATTAGGGTTTTACAAACACAACCGAACATTTTGAAAATATAGTCGGGCATTTTCTTTGATTTGCCACAATAAAATAGACCCAGAAACACTTCAAAACACCCAAGATCAACTCTTAAAGATCAATTTAACCTGTTGAACCTATTTTGCAAAATAATGGATCAAATCAGATTTTCTAGTTCTCCAGGAATTCAAGTTTTTAAACGAATTTTGGACACAATCAATAAGAGGGAAGAACAACACAACTCACCAAATTTCATATCAAAATTCAAGAGACTCGATTTCATATCAAATTTTCAATAAACTGGCCAGAACTTAAATTCATCAG